ATGTAGCTTTTAAAGACAAGAATCTGAAAATGGAATTAGGTCATTTTGACCTAATTTGAGTTAATCCTCATTTCCATATGATGGCTCATTTATTTAATTAACCAACCAGTTAAAGACCTGCAGGACACAGATTTCACTTATTTTTTAACATTTTATTTTCATGTCTGATCTGTAAATTCAGGTTTATTTAATCTGTCAACATCTCTGTGTAAATATATTTCTGTGTATAAAAATATAAATATATTTCTGTGTATAAAAATCTAAATACTGTATATTTCTGTGTATAAAAATCTAAATACTGTATATTTGTGTGTATAAAAATCTAAATACTGTATATTTGTGTGTAGTCAGGTAAATGTAAGGTCACGTTGTGAACTTGTTGTTGTGACTCTGTTAGGACCTGCAGGCGAGCCCCTCCTCCTCTATGCGAACAGGCGGGACCTGCGGATCGTGGACGTGGAACATGAGAAGACCAACGGGACGGTGGTGGTGGAGGGTCTGGAGGACGCCGCGGCCGTGGACTACGTGTACTCCCAGGGTCTGGTGTACTGGAGCGACGTGAGCGAGGAGGCCATCAAACGGACCTTCTTTAACCAGTCTGGACACAGCGTGGTCCAGACCGTGCTGCCGGGTCTGACCTCCCCGGACGGACTGGCCTGTGATTGGTTGGGGAGGAAGCTGTACTGGACGGACTCTGAGGCCAATCGGATCGAGGTGGCTGAGCTGGACGGGTCTTTGAGGAAGGTTCTGTTCTGGCAGGAGCTGGACCAGCCCAGAGCCATCGCCCTGGATCCAGAACGAGGGTGAGTCTTAGTCCTGCTTTACACCCACATCAGGACCAGCTGGAACCTGATGAGGCTGGTCYGACCCAGATGGACCCAGAACCACGTTTGACCAGTAAAATGTTTGTGTCATTTAAAGACATTGAAACAAATGTTAAATTTAGCAGATATTAACTACAGACACCTGAAGCTGACTCACAGAGCTCACAGAGTGATTTTAGACAAATAAAGGTCAAACATAGACACCTGTTGAATAGAAGACACCCCCCAACCCCCATCCTGAGCAGCTCCACCCCACCTGTGTGTGATTAACACTGATGYTTTGTGAAAATCAGGGTTTTTGACCCTCATCGTACTGGTACCAGTCTGAAGGTTGACATGTGGACTCTGAAGTCCTGGACTGGTTGGAGCTGTGCTGCAGGAGGACAGGTGCAGCTCCCCCCCCACTTTAAACCAGTCAGCTGATCTGTGGGGGTTTGTTGTGCTCCTGAACACACAGTGTTACATCAACAGAAACATCTGGAGCTGATTTTAATTTGTGTAAAAAGACAAAACAGTCTGTTGTTTTCAACAGTTTTCACTTTAAAGACATAAGTTACACAACTGATGTCACAGTACAAACAGCTGGATGTTGTCTTCATATTTGTTCATTTTATACTTTCAGAAATATGTTCAATAAATAAATAAAATGTTTAATATTAAAAAAACGACACACACAAAGTACTGAAAATTGGTACTGTTGAGTACCAGTACTGATTCCCAGGTACCAGATATTGGTACCAGATAAATTCAAATGTCAAAGATACACATCCCTACTGAGGAAACACTGTGAGCTGCTGTTACAAGTATAATATTTATATAATACCACATAATCCTCACTGACAAATAGTCCAGCTGAACTGACTCCGCCCACAGAGACAGACAGCTGTCAGTCAGACATCAGGCCCCGCCCTGCTCTGCTCTGATTGGATCAAACTCTRACTGTGGTTCTCTTTACTGGGTGAAAGAACCATCAGTTTAATCTCTTCATGACTTTAACAAGTTCTCCTCTGGTTCCTGTTTCCA